ATTCTGAAGGCCTTACCTGTAGGCTGTAAGGCTTCAATAACTACATGTGTGTACTCTGTAATAGAAATGACACAAATTTAAGAAAAAATTGCATTTCCTTATAAATCTGATGCTGACCTCTTTAGCTAATTGTGGTGTAGAATGCAGTATGCAAAGTGACTGGCTTGGACATAATCCATTACTACGTGAACTTCCATTATTAAGGTTACTAAAATGGTTTTCAAGGACACTAATGATTATTCATATTGCAGAGAACACTATTAAAATTAATTTGAAGGAGGACATCTTGCTGAAGGCATAGACTTGTATTTTTGTGATGTAAGATGAACAAATCTCCTGTTATATTTCTGTTTTTAAAAAAACCATCCAAAGCAAAGATTAGTACACCTTGGGCTTACCTTGCTGTGTAACTGCTTGGCTTAAGTACACTGTGTGCAGTGGTCTAATAGCTGGAATGAACAGCATGTAGTCCACAGTCATAATTTAAGTTTAATTACAGGGAGGTGTGATCATTGTCTTCACCATGTAAATACCATCGTCTTCACCATGTAAATGGCTCATTGTTCTGAAAGTACACAAGTGACACATTCCCTTTTGCTCCCTGACAGTGGATGAGCCACATGCTCTCCACCCTCTCTCAGGTCTGAGAGCTCTGTTCTCTTAGGTCTTTATGACAGTCGGGACACAAAGCACTGTGTTTTGATGGGGCACATGACATAAATTCCTGACTCAGTGACACACAGGGTCACACCCCACAGAGTATGCGTCCAGTGAGCTCAGGTCAAATGGGCACAACTGAAATGCCATAAGGTAGTAAGTACAAAACATGCACAGAGATGGGGAGATACTGATGTTTGTCAGAGTCTTAGGGAATTTGTGCTGAAACCAGGATTCTAAAAGAGCTTAGAGATGTAAAGTAGAAGATCGGAGGTGAAAGAATGAAATGGGGCCTAAATAAAAGATGTGGTTTTACTAGAAAAGAAAGAATGTTAGTAAGCTGGATCATTGATCTCAGCTGACAAGGGTGCAAAGACTCCCAAAGGAAAGAAGGAAGGATGCTCTTAGCTGCAAGCAACAAAGGCTTGGACTAAAATTTTTGACTTAAATAGTAAGGAAAAGCTTTCATGTGACATGACAAGAAATCTCAGAGAGAGCAGATCCACCCACTCAACGGCGTGTCATCAAGGACTCAGTTTTCGATTCTTTTCTGTCTGTCATGCTTGTCCTCTTTAACTATTTGCCTTATGGTCATAACATAACTGCTTTATTAGCAGTCACAGGCAGATGGCACAACTCTGAAAGGAGGCTGGATCTCTATGGATCTCTTCTTATCAGCCTTTTCTAGAACAAGGTTCTCCTTAGGAAGGACTATGGGAATTGCTGAGTCCCAAGCCTCTCGATTCACTGGGCTTCAAAATTTTCTCAATTGCTTTGGGCAATCAAGTCTTGTTCTGGGATTCAGGGATAGTAAAACCTTCTCTCAAGCACATGGCTGCAAGAAATCTGCATCAATGTTCATTCGCAGGCCAGAATAAGCGCAATGAAGGAGCACTGAGTGGTGGGCGGTCAACATTAAGGCTATGTTGTCTGTGGAGAATTTGAAAGTATCTGAAAAGAGAAGAGGTGTGTACAATGAGTTGACTGTTGGAAATTCTTATGGGGCTCATAAGTGAGTGAGGGAGACCATTAGGAAGAGAATCAGGAAAAAATAAGATCAGAAGTTCTGAGATGAGGTGGTGGTGGGGGAAATCATGGAGATGTGGATATGGACTAGATGAGATCTGGGAATCAGCCCCATCCTGAGATACCTGGGGTTTTCTGACTTCTCAATGAAACATGCAAGATTTCCAACAACACAGTGTTGTGTGTCCCTGTTCATACTGTCCACCACTTTTGGCTTCATGTTTCATTCTCTTGATGTATAAAATTTGTCTTTCGGTTCTCTGAGTCTCTATTCACTGTGGTCCTTTCATAGGAATGCCCTTCCTATCTGCCTATTCCTGGAAGACTTTTCATTTCATTCTTGAAGATGCAGCAGTGGCCTCATCTCCAGAAAATTCCTGTGCTTCTCAGGTGGCTCTGGGTCCCTCCTCTATGCTTCCCTGGAATTCTGTGCTCACCTGTAAATCACTGTAGTTATTGGATTTGAAATCCTCTTCTTAATTTCTTTCACAAATATCTCCTAGTAAGAGACTCCTTTATGTCCAGGGCTAGAATAAAGCATGACAGTAAACAGAAATACTCTAATAAAGGCAGTGTTCTAGAGGGAGCTGATCAGATAGTAAACGTTTGAGTAGTGAGTCAAGTGGTATGTGCTAGAAAAAAGATAAACTAGGGAAATGTGATATAGGGACATGGGCTGAGTTTTTAAATGGAATGCTTAGAGAAAGTCTTATCAATGAGATAGGAGAGAGAGGGAGAGAGAAAAAAGGGAGAGGGAGAGAGAGAGAGAGAGAGAGAGAGAGAGAGTCCCCCAGATTGAGCCATCTGAGTGCCATTGAAAAATCTCAGCAGAGGGATACTCAGTGCACAGGACCTGAGGCAGACATGCTCATTGTGTTGGATGAGTGGGGAAGGCTAAAGTAGAGTGAGCCTTGCTGGTTATGGTCAGGCTTTGGCTTCTCTGAGAGGATGGAAACTACTGGAGTTGCTGTGTAGAGTTACATAACCTTCTGATCTTTAAATCTATCACTACAGCTTCTCAAGAAAAGGTCATGGGATATAAGACTGAAGCAGGCAACAGAGGGAGAAAAGTAGTTCAGTATTGGGGGAGAGGGAGGAAAGTAGTTCAGTGTTGGGGGAGAGGGAGGAAAGTAGTTCAGTGTTGGGGGAGAGGGAGGAAAGTAGCTTTGACCAAAGTGGTAAAACCAGGTAGAGTAACAGGTGGATACACAGGGAGTGTTTTTTATTTTTCATTTTATGTGTATGCGTGTATTGCCTGCATGTAGGTAAGTGCACCTGTGTTGTGCAATGCCAGTGGAGGACAGAAGAGGCTGTCGGATCCTCTGGAACTGGAGTTACAGACAGTTGTTAGCTCCCACATGGGTGTTGGGATTCGAACCCAGGTCTTCTGCAAGAATAACCAGTGTTCTTAACCATTGAGCCATCTCTCCAGCCCCCAACAAGGAGTGTTTTTGAATATAGAGGAAATAAGATATTTTCACAGATTGAAGGTAAATATGAATGAGAAAGTATTAACAGATAACCACAAATTTATTGTTCTGAAAAGTGAAAAAGGAAATGAAATCAGGAGTTACAGAGGTAGAGAGAGGTGTGAGGGTAGAGGCAAGGCTGGGAGGTTATGAACGAGTTTGCTTTTCAGTATGTTAAACGTAGGGTATCTAGTAGAATCCAGGTGGAAATAGTGAGTCTGCAGCTGGGCATAGAATTCAGGAGCAGCATAAACTCAAGGGTTAGTTTTGTTGCTATGACCAACATCTGAGAAAAAATAAAGGTAAAAGATTTATTCTGGCTCAGAGTTTCAAAGCTAAGTCTAACATGGTGAGGAAAGGGTGGTAGAATAGTTCACATAATGGAGGCAAGGAAGGGGATAAGGGAAAAAAAGGAGAGAGAGAGAGAGAGAGAGAGAGAGAGAGAGAGAGAGAGAGAGAGAGCCAGAATTTCCCAAAATAGTACCACCTGCTTGAGATCAGCTGTTTAGTACATGGGCCTGTGGAGAATATTTCATATTCACAGGATTACAAGGACCCAACAGCATGTCAGTGACACTTGAAGATTAGATGAGGTAAGATGCCCTGGGAAGTGAGTAGAAAGGTTGTAGAGACTCAGATCTGAAACCTGATATGTTATGATGAACAGAGGCTGATAATGGAGGAAAAGCCCACATGAGAGACTGAGAAGTTCCCCAGAGGAAAGCTGTGAACCAAAAGAGACAGGCCACCCAGAAGACAAAGTAAGGAAGTGTTTGTTGGCAGTAAGTCCCAGGCAGATTGAGGTCTCCCTTGAGGGCAGGAACTACTCTTGAAAATATTTGTGTCTACAGGTCTCTACAGTTAGTGTTGATCCATCAGTGTTTGTAGGACTGAACTCTCCTTTATCAACACACTCCTTTTCCAACATGACACATTTTAGCTTCATTTTTTTCTTGGCTTAGGTTTTCTTCTTACATTCTTCAGTTTTTACACATGATATGGCTATGAGTGGGTTGAGGGCTTTGGTCACCTCTCCAAGGTATGAGCTCCTTGCTGGCTTTGCCTTACATTCTTGGAGTGCCAAGAAAGACATATAACCACACCAAGTGTCAGCTTATTTGTGCAAGACCGACTAGAAAGCTGATGTGCTCTTCCTGCGAATCTATGAATGTGGGCTGTCCAGTGGAGAAATAATCCATTTGAGTTTGTGTAGCATATGAACTTTTATACACACATTGTAAGACAAGGAGTGTCTTAAACCACAGGAAATACGCACAGAAAGACTGAGTTATTTATGCTTTTTTGTCACAGAACAACTACAGATAATTTTTTAAAGCTTAAATTAAAAAATTACTTTTATTGTATGTGTATGAATGTTTTGCCTGTGTGTCTATGTGTACGATATGTGTGCAGTGTCCACAGAGGCTAGAAGAGGGCAATGAATTCCTTGGAACTGGGATTATGGAAGGTTGTTAGCTGGGACCCAAACCTAGGCCCCCTGCAGGAGGAGTCAGAGCTCTTAACCACTGAACTGTTTCTCCAACCCTGGCAGGTCATTCTTAAATGTACGCTAGTAGAAAGCTTTGAATTATTAGGTTGAAGGGATAATAAATCTATATTCATATTTCTGATTTCTGTCTTTCCTATTTACTAATCTACAAGAAACTGTGATAAGGAAATGCATTTTTTCCCCTGAAGTGGTGTGCTTAAACACTGAATTTCATGAAAAATAATAAGACAATAATAAGAAAAAAATAATAAGACAACAATAAGAACTCCAGTTATATCAAGTGAGATCCTCAGATTCTTTTCTCACCTTCTAATTCTTAGGCTCTGTTTGGCATAAAAATGGATGCTCTCAGCACAGCAAATGCTGAATTTTGCCTTGATGTCTTCAAACAGCTGAGCAGTAGCAATGTGGGAGAAAACATCTTCTTTTCTCCACTGAGTCTGTTTTATGCTCTAAGTATGATCCTTCTAGGCACCAGAGGACAGAGTGCCGAGCAAATGGAAAAGGTAAGGCTTGTCACAGAGTATCCCTGGTACCCAGAATTCCTCCATGTGCCCCCTTTTGTCTGCAAATTGTGTCCATCCTCTTATAAAGAAATACATCATTTTGTGATGTAAAAAGGCGCATTTAGCAGGTCATATTTCTTTAAAAAAGAAAAAGTTTTAAATAGTAGAGTTTAATGCCAATCAATACAATTCATACCACACAAAGCTTCTTTCTATCCCAAGTAAATTTCTGAAGTTAATGTTAGATTTCCTATTTTTGGTAATTTGAATGTAATAGAGAACATATGTACGGTACTATTCTTGGATTCTAAAATTTAAACTTACAGTAACACTCAATAACATTTTAGAAGTTAAAACTTTTTTTTTGGTCTTTTTGAGACAGGGCCTCCCTGTAGCCCCAGCTATCCTGGAACTCACTGTGTAGACCAGGCTGGCCTTGAACTCACAGAGATCCACCTGCCTCTGCCTCCCGAGTGCTGGGATTAAAGGCATGCCCGGCAGAAGTTAAAACTTTAAGGAATTTATTATTACATTTCTTCATGACAACCCCATGTAGGAGTCAAGGACTGTTATCCCCATTTTACAGATGAGAAAACTGAGAGAAATGGTGGCCTTTCATATTACAATGGACGCTTGGGTTCCATTCTGTATGTGTTTATTATTGAGAATGTCTGTGAGAATACCAAGGGCTACTTGCTTTTCTTCACAATTGTAGTGGAAAATCATGTGGTGTTTAACTTGGCTCCATGTGGGTGATGCCCTGGTTAAAGCTCTGAAAAAGGGAGTGAAAGGCAGAGGAACCTGCTATAACAGTTGAGAGCTCCCTGCAGAGCCACAGGTCATGGTCTAGAGCAAATGTGCCTGGCGTTTTTATCTCGGTTTCCCTGACATAAAATGGGGTGATAGTACTTATTCATGAAGCTGTTTCAAGAGCTAAAGAAGATACATAAGGAGTTAACTCAGGACTTCAACATAACTTTATTCAATGTTACCAGTCAATATTAGTCTTGATCAGAAATGGAAAAATGGAAGCAGCTCTCATATTTTGTTCACTGTACTTTTATCTTGTGGTCCATTGATCTGTTTTATTTTTCTAGGTCCTTCACTATGAACACTTTTCAAAATACTTAAAACCAGAGATGAAAGACTCACGTGAGGTATGATGATGTCATTGTTGAGTGTCACATTACAGCAGCAAGAAATCATAGTCCAGCAATTGTGGAGGGAACTGTCTCTTTGGTCCATGAGGGAACCAGATCTGTCTTTCTTGGAGTCCTCTGTTAATCTTCCTGATAGTCACTACAATGTTTAGAGTTTAACGTATGATGATAATAATAGCATAATAATGAATTCACCCTCCCAGTTTTTTCACTGTTTAAGTCTGTTTATTTTTTGAAAATTTCACACATGAACACTGTATTTACATAATTTCCACCCCTCCCTCTCTAACTATACTATCCTATACTCCCTCTCAATTTATTGTCTTCTTCTTTGATGATCTTAGTATCATTGTTACTTATAAATACATAGTTACATGCATATACATATAATATATATTACTGATTCCATTTATTGGTCCTCCTGTGTACATGTGTTTAGGGCTGGCTACTTGGCATTTGATAATCCATTTTGGACCTTGTCCCTGGAGAAAATGAGTTCTCCCTCTTCACTTAGGCCTTTCTGTTCTGTGCCTTTTGATTCTGCCAGCTTCAGACATAGAGTATTAGGTTCTTTCAGCCTGTGAGAATAAATGGAAAGGGCTCTCACTATTTTCCATATATGGCTCCTGATACAATTGAATCTACATGCTCTTAGACAATGGTATCTAGTTCATTCCAGAGGGAATATTCATTCATTCACATAGAACTCCCACAAGAAAGGAGTTTGGTAGAGCTTTAGAACATATTTTTTTTTTTTTCAAAGAAAATTCACTTCTCAGAACTCAGTTTATTATTAGGTGGTAGAAGTGATTATTCAGGAATCATTATTTTAAGAAATGTAGGTGTAGCCTCTTTGGTATCCATTAATTTTTTTTTTTTTTTTTTTTTTTTTTGGTCTTTTTGAGACAGGGGACAGGGTCACCCTGTAGCCGCAACTGGCCTGGAACTCTAAGTAGACCAGGCTGACTTTGAACTCACAGAGATCTACTTACCTCTGCCTCTGCTTCCCAAGTGCTGGGATTAAAGCCATATGCCACCATGTTCAGCCTGGTATCCCTAAATTCTTATACATCGTCCAGATGTATCACAGTTTCAAACTTACCAGACATACTACTAAGGAGGAATAAGTGAATGTATCATCTGTCTGCAGGGCAAGCTACAATATGTGTGAGATAGTCTTATAGAAACTCAAGGTGCTGATTGGACATGGTAGCTCCTGCATATAATCCCAGCATTGGAAGAAAGAGGTGGGAGGACTATGGCAAGTTTGAGAACAGACTGGCAAACATAGTGAGTTCCAGCCGGGCTACATAGCCGATATGCCCATTAGTTAGGGGGAACCAGTGTGGGAGGGGGACGAGAGAAGGTTGTGGGGGAGGGAATAAGATCACAGTGCATAGAGTGTAAGTAAGAAACTGTCAAAAATATAAAATAAAAAGAAAGAAAGAAAAGGTACCAAGGCATTGAAAATAGAATTGTAAGGATAAAGGCAGCCACAGAACTTGAATTATCATCGTGGATATTCCACTAGACTCCCTTTGTTTAGGACAATTTAAGCTTTTGAATTAAACTATTGGGGACAACAACAACACATGCTTCTGTGCACAATCTGTAACTAGAATCACAGATGGCAAGATTATTTTGCTAAAGGAAATCTTGAGATGAAAAATGCTTGGACCCCAGCTTCCTGTACTCACTGCTGTTTCCCTTGAAGGCAAACATCTTGCTCTCCAGATCTGTCCTCACATTATTTATCTCTCCAATAGTTAAGAAATCAGCCCCTGATGTCCCTTCTTTGTTTCCTGCTTCCAGTGCAGCCGGGCTGGAAGGATGCACTCTGAATTTGGAGTCCTACTATCCCAAATCAACCAACCGAATTCTAATTATACCCTCAGCATTGCCAACAGACTCTATGGGACAAAGGCAATAACATTCCACCAGGTAAGAACACTTGGCGCCCCCTGAATTTTGTAACGTAAATTCAGTGAAGAATGGGAAGTGCCAATGGTATTCTTTAAGATTTTTCAACTTGAAATGACTTACAGTTCTAGAGAAATAGTTTTTATGAAAATTCTCATTTAGAGTTCTAAGATACCACATGAAAATTTCTTGTTGCTACAGAATCTCTAAAACTTTCCAAGAACCAAAGTCAGAAACAAACCCAAAGAAATGCACTTTTTACGAATCATTGCTTACGGATGAGGAGAAAGGCAAAACACATTTCTTATTTATTTTACACTTGTCCTTGATGGTAGAGTATCAAGAGGTAGTTGAAAGCACATTGAACTAGGAGCCAAGAGACCTGCATTTTCTTCCCATTTATTTTCATGACTTTGGGCAAGTCACTTCTATCTCTAAAATGAGATTAGACTAATCTTTTCTAGCTCCAAAAGCACGGTTTATTTATGCTCTTTCCCAATTGTATCGCCATATGTAGTTTACCTAGGTGCTTACTCATTCGTCCCTGTGCTCATCAGTACTGATTTTATTACAGGCATGCATGATTCCTTCAATACTTGCATTGAGCTAAGGTAGAGTTACAAAATTACCTCTAATTTTATAGACGCTAAAGCTGATACTGAAAATTCCATTTGACCAAGTTTACACATAATTGAATAGCAAGTTCTAGGTTTGATTCATATATAAAGCCATCTTTCTGCTGTGGTTGACATGAACTGTGGGTGTTCATGGTGTAGATTTGGTTTGATCTGGATTACTGAAATTTCAGAATAAAGCCTTCAATTTCTTTTTTTCTTCACCACCTTGGTGGATTTAGATGTGTGACATCTCAGAATTTGTACGTCTTGGGTGAGGATACTACTTTGGTACTAAAGGCATTTCAGGAATATTCCCTCTAGTGTCTTAGAAGCTTATAGGAATGTGTTATGCTGAGTACCAGATGTGACAGAGCTTAAGGACCATAGTCCTTTGTGTTAGTATGCTCTCTCATCTCTTTGCCTGCAACAAACTTTGACCTAGATACCACAGTAGGGAAATGCTGATTTGCGATGATGACTTTTGAGTCTGTTCCTGAATTAATAAACAAGTCATTTAATCACTGTAGTTCTCAACTTTTCTTGCATACAGAACTCTTGTTTCTTTACTTTGAAGAGGAAAGCATAGAGACATAATAAAACCATTATAGGCAGATTAATAGTATTCTTTGAATGTATTCATATATGAAAACTAGTAACATGATGGGAAGAAACAAAAATTTCTGAACATTTTTTTTGAAAATAATTTGCATTTTAAGAAATTTAATTTAAAAAAGTATATATGAATATTTTTCTTCTCTCAGACTTGCTACAGGAAGTGTTGTATGTCTCTGTGTTAGGATTTTAGAACTTCTTGAGCCATATATATGTATATATATACATGTTTTTTGAACTGTATATATTTTTCATGATCTTTAAACCATTTTTCTTGTCTGTATGATGTATGTGCATGTGTGCTTATCCCTGTACACAAGTATAGGAGTGTTCCAGTCCCCAGCCACGTTTGTGTACGTGGAGGTCAGAGGACAGTCTTGGAAGCTGGCCTTCTTCTATCTTGTTTGAAACAAGCTGTCTTCTGCATTGTTTCCTACTGCATCTGCACATACTAGGCAGCAACTAGCTGTGGGCATTCTCCTGTCTGTTTCCCATCTCCTAGAAGGAGCACTGGGATTACAGGTGCGTGTTGTTATGTCTGGATTTTATGGATCCTTGGAACTCAAATTTAGCTCCTTATGCTCGCATAGCAAGTACTTTGCTTGCTGTGTCATCTCTTCAGACCCCCACTTTCCACTATTTTTGTGCTGTTTTCCAATTGCTCTTTCTTTTACAGCAATATTTAAGGTGTTCAGAGAAACTATACCAAGCCAAGCTGCAAGCTGTTGATTTTGAATTATCTACAGAAGAGACGAGGAAAACTATTAATGCTTGGGTTGAAAGTAAAACTAATGGTAAGGGTGTGTGTGTGTGTGTGTGTGTGTGTGTGTGTGTGTGTGTGTAAAATTTTATCTGTGCTCCGTTGATCAATTCTACTGTGCTAAGAAGGAAACTGAAGTTAAGGGTGTGAAGCCGAGTAGCTGGTAAATAGATCGACAGTGAAGGTGTTGGGAACATGTTTTGGAATATCGCTTGTAATAATTTTTCTTAAGTAATTTATGCTACATGACTATGAGAAATGGAATTAATACCCCTTCTGCTTTAAAGAAATATTGTGATTCTGCAATTTTTATTGAACTTGGGCTTCATATAAATCCACATATATTGTTAAATATTTCTATTTTTAAAATGGTAGGCTAAACAGAAGTGTTTTATATTTTGTTGAAAATAGTTAAGAAAAAAATGAGGAGATATATAAAAGTAGAGAGAATATGTAATAGAGTCTTATTTATTTTAATCACTAAACTGAACCATTCACTAAGTCTATCCTCATTGGACTCTTGCTCTATTCCCACATCATCTTCTACATTATTTTGGACCAAATCTCAAACTTATTTTTCCTATATAATCATCCACATTTTCCTCTTAAAATGTCAAAAACCCAGCATAGAACTGGGGAAATGGACAGTGGATTCCAATCTTAGCTGAAAAAAATATTGACAACTGATTACTGCTGGGTGAGGAAGAGCTGATCTTCCTAAAGTGAGAGATTCTACATAGGCTGACTAGAATGCAGTAGGTGAACTTGCACCGAGGAATGTCTGTGGATACCTTCTTGACACAATAGGCCTTAAGACAAATGACAGAATGTGTGAATTCCAGTGGGAAAGCTATGGGAGGGTGCCAGTGAGGCAGTGGGTATAAAGATGATTAAGATTTATTGAGGTGTTCTGTATGAAATACACAAAAATTCAATTAATAAATTCAATTAAAAAATAAAAAACATGGACTAATTTTTCTGTTTTTATTGAATTTTTGCAAATCCCATATAATATATTTGCTTGTGTTTAGATCCTCTCCCCATCTGCAGCCTTCCTCTTACTAAGGCCTACAGAATCAAATTTGTGTCTCCAAATGTCCTTTAGTGTAGGTTCATCCACTGGAGCCTGGTTAACCTACCAAAAGTTACACTCTTAAAAGATACTGACTCTCCCCTTCCTAGTAGCCATCAGTTACCAATAGTTCATCAGGTAGGTCTGGGATTTCTTTCCCACTTCCCCACATCTATCCTGGGATTTTGTTTGGTTTGAACTTCTGTGGGACTTGTGCATCCTTTGGCTATTGAGTTCATGTGAATAACTTCCCAGCTGTCTAGAAAACTCTGTCTTCTTGTGGTGACCCATCACCCCGGCTCTCACATTCTTTCTGCCACCTCTTCTGCAATGATGCCTAAGTCTTGGGAGACAGAAGTTTGATATAGGTGTCCAATTCAGGGATATGCACTCTGCAGCTTCTTATTCTCTGCATGTTGGCCAGTTGTGGGTTTCTGTGTCATTACCATCTGCTAAATAAAGAAACTTTTCTGGTGAGAGTTGAGAGATGTATTAATCTATGGATATAACAATACGTCATTTAGGACTCACTTTAATCCTACATATGTTTAGCATAATAATAGTATTATGCTCACCTCCATGGCCTGTGGCATATCTAGTCACATATTCCCAGGCCTGATACCAGTGTCACATATAGATTTCAACTTATGAGGTGGACCTTAAATACAGTTAAAAGGTGTTGGCTACTACCAAAGTGTTTGTGCCACTATTGCACCAGAGGTCATGTAGGCCAATTGTTGTTGAAGCACACAGAATTTACAGCTGGTAAGGTTAACGATAAATTTTTTCTTTCGGTAACATGCATAGCACCTTCCTGTACTCTGAAAACTAGTCAGTAGAGAAGAAGCTTGAAGTTAGTACCAATTTGATTTCTCCTTGTTTTTTCTATGACTTATGTATGTAGTATCTTCAACAGTAGCATTTTACTATCAATTTTTGGAGGGTAACTGAGAGCAGAGGCATTGGCTAATATATTGTTTGAGGGTCTGTGGGACCCTTGGTCAACAGTTTCAAAAGAGAGGGTCTATCCCTGGCATTGGACTTTTGCCTTGCTAGCCTGTGGGGTCTAATAAAGGCAATGTTCCCCTGTTATAAGGTAATTCCTTTTAATCTCCTTTTATAATATCTATGTATATAGTTTAAGTAGATTTCCATGTGGAGTTTTCTAAAGGCCCTTAGAGTTAGTTATATCTCCCCATACAATTAAATATAAACTATTTTTAATATATTTATTTATTATCTTAATTAGTATATATGTCTGTACATATTTGTATCTGTGTATGAGTATGTGCACTTGATTGCAGGTGCCAAAGTGGTCCTTGGAGCCCCTGGAGCTGGAGTTATAGGGGTTTGTGATCCCCTGATATAGAGTCAGGAAACTGCTCTCTGATCTTCTGCAAAAGCAGCAAGCACTCTTAATTGCTGAGTCATGTCTTCAGATCTCAAATGTGAACTATTTTACTTTGGTCACAAAAATATTATGACACTTGTAGTCACTTAATATTAAAAAATCAGTGACTTTTAAAATATTTCATATTTGGAGAGTGGAGAGATAGCTTAGCAGTTGAGAGCACTGGCTGTTCTTGTGGATGAACTGGGTTCAGTTCCCAGCACCCACATGGTGGCTGACAACTGTCTGTAACTCCAGTTCCAGAGGATCTAATGTCTTCTTCTGACCTCTGCAGACATTGCATGACATGGGTGTACTTGAATACATGCAGGCAAAACACTCATACATGTAAAATAAGAATAAGTAA